TGTCAGGTACATATTTAGTAATTGGAAATTACTGTTTCAAATAGTTTATAAATTTTGTTTGTACTTTTAACGTTTAGTTAGCATTCTTGTGAACAGAATATCCAAACCTATAGCTTGTCTTAGCTCTATTTCTAGTACAGTTGCACACAACAGGGGGTTTGTTTACATGCTTGCACCTCTCTCCCTTTTGAGCAATCACTCGGGATCAAAATAACATGTGTATAGAACTATTTTAGCCACAGAGAATTTTTCTGGAGGACGGTAGGCCTTCCCTTAACTTGTTATTGAAATCGACTGATGATGTATACAGCGAGGGATTGTGGTTGACCAAAGCAGGATTTCAGTTTACTTATCACAGTTTCACCAATTATAATATCGTTTATCTCTTGTAGAATAAAGTTGTCCAAGGTCCGGAAACATTTCCCTCGAACTGCTAATACAAACTGAAGAAACCGAACAGTTCAGAATTTGCAGAGAACTACTGATTGTAAGATGTCAGAGCAGGAACTTGAACACACTTTTTGTTTTATCATCATTAAAGATTACGTACTTGTTGTTTTTGAATAACTGTATCTAGTATCTATTTCACTGATTGAACTTAATATGTGTATTCTGTAAAATTTATCTTCTCATTCCTTCTTTTATCTATGAAACTTATTGTTTACGTCAGACGTTAATATACCAGAATACCACAGAATAAGTTAAAAAAACAAATATTTTGATCACCAATTAAGGTCTTGCTTTGGCCAAGTTCAACAGAATGTGTTCTTTAGTTCTCTATTAGTAATTCCTGTTTAGTTTTGCAATCTCTGATCACCAAGGAAGATTCTGAGATTGTATCAAACTGATAGTAGAGAGGAAGGTGCAGCAAGTGAGACGAAAACAATATTACAAGCTGCAGGATGAGTCTGCTTTTGGTCCAAGGCTTCTTTGTGTACATGATGAGTGCTATATCCACATTTGTTTTACCTGGCCTTAGGACCTAGAGATTGGGATACAGCCAGGATCTCCCCACGGTACAAAAATCAGTTGAACACTGTCAGTTACCTCTAGCCTAAGAAAGTGAACGACCATTGGACCTGGTCATCAACCAGTAACACCAAGCTACAATAATAACTTAAGTAATCAGAAAAAAAAGAGATGGTTGAATATAACCTCGGAGATGCCTGTAAAGTACCCCATCCACCGGCAGGAGCTATTCAAATCAGGCAAAATGAATATGATAAAAATTAGCGTTTTGCCTTTTCACAACTGATAACTGCTAGTCAATTGATATGTTGAAGTAAAAACGTAAACGATCTTATTTTTCATCGTCTTTTAATTATATATATTTTTAGCATAACCGTTTGATTAATTTGTTTCTCACTTACCTCAATACAATGATTTTTTTCTTATAAGGCTTGGGGTACTAAAGCGACTTGGATCACATTTTGACCAAACAATTTCATTTATTTCCTGTGGAATGTAGTTATCCAAGCTCCGGAAGCAGTTTCCTTCGAACTGCTGATATAAACTTAAGAAACCAACAGTTGAGAATGCACAGAGAAATAGTTATTGTAAGATTTTAGAGTAAGACCTTGAATGCATTTTTATGTTTTTGTTTTATCATCAGTAAATCTGACGAATAGGCTTCAGTGACAGATGTATGGACTGTACTGGCAGTTCTACACCCTAAGCGGACTTAGTGGTTTGTTAAATAAAGCATGCAATGGTGAGAAGTCACACATGTATGTAAGTATGTGATATTAAACAGTTATTTGTAGCGTAAAAAAGTGAATGACCATTGGACCTGGTCATCACAGTAAAAAGATATATATTGAGGGTTACTGAAACTGACTGAGGCACCTGGTCATCACAGTTGCAAGATATATATTGGTAGGTACTGAAACTGACTGAGACACCTGGTCATCACAGTGACAAGATATATATTGGGAGGTACTGAAACTGACTGAGGCACCTGGTCATCACAGTGATAAGATATATATTGGGAGATACTGAAACTGACTTTGGCACCTGGTCATCACAGTGACAAGATATATATTGGGGGTACTGAAACTAACTGAGGCACCTGGTCACCACAGTGACAAGATATATATTGGGGGTTACTGAAACTGACTGAGGCACCTGGTCATCACAGTGACAAGATATATATTGTGGGTTACTGAAACTGACTGAGGCGTTTCTACTTGTTATAAACATGGTAAGTAAGAACTTTCAACGCTACTATTATGTTTTACATAATTTATATGCCTAAATATTATGAAAAGTAATTGATGTCATTTGCTGAAACAGTAACAGTCTAAATATAAAATCACTGTCAAACGAATTAAAAATATGATGTTAGGGAGAAAGAAGAAAACAATTTTTGTCGTTTTGAATATATGATTAATTCTTGTTTTTCGAGTTAAACATAACTATTACATATGACATAATTTCAGTTTCGCATGTATATTTCGCCTGTTTCATATTTATGTCACTCGAATAAAAACAAAATGTTAATATTTATACAGTGAATGTCACGCATACACAATAGTCCACCAGACTGGCCAGTTTCATTAAAAGGGGGAGTAGGAATTAGTACACGGCTGTGTTTTGTTTGTTTGTAATTAAGCACAAAGTTACACAATGGGCTATCTTTGCTCTGCCCACCACTGGTATCGAAACCCGGATTCCAGCCTTGTAAGTTCGCGGACATACTGCTGTGCCACTGGGGGGGGGGCATAGTTTTGTATATTTTTTATTTATTAGAGTTGAGGCTTACGCATGAAAATGTAGAACAGAAACCAATATTAACAGTGTTCTGTTATAAATATGATTACGATGAATTTTATCTTAGGATAACCATAGGTTATCGTGTTTTTATGTCAATTAACGTTTCCAAAGATAGATCAGTTATTAGAGTTTTGTATTTTCAACACCAGTTGATTTCAAACGCTACGGCGGGCAAGGAGAGCTCTAATAAAAATCTAAAGGAAAGTACAAATTATTATGCAAAAATAAAACTTTACAACTAACACAATGAATTTTTTTTGTTAAAGGATCTTTACAGTAGTATGACCATTATTCTCAGTATTATTATTCGTGAAAGGAAATATCATATTTGGGATAAATTCCGCATATATATTTATATTTTATCGAAGCATATTCATTAACTGATCAAAATATGCATTAAGGAATTAAGGTTCGATTTAAGTGTTTGCGATTACTGATCGGGTTTGAGATTTCCTGTCAGATGAAATTTCAAGTAGATGTCTAGGTAAATTTCCCAATTTATCAGATATTAGGAAAACATTTTCAACACTGAGTGAGAAATAGTCTGTTCGTTTACTAGTCAAGTTAAGTTATGTTTGCAAATCACGAACAAAAGGTTCGAAGAAGATTGATAAACCTTATCAGATGTAACATAAGTACTAATAAATGTTACGCCTTTTTGTTTGAACATTTGTAGGGTAGACGTTAGTTTTAATCTTCACTTGTCTGTTTTGTTTTAAGCGCATGGCTATCTACGCTGTGCCCACCGCAAAGATCGAGCCTCTATGTTTAGCATTATAAGTCTTCAAGCTTATTGCTGAGTTGCCGAGAGGACAATTTTTACTTGTAATTCTGAACTACATTTACAACGATCATTTCTAACAATATACTTAAGATTCAAAGTGTCATACGCCTTGCAATTATCCATAAACCCGAAGATCGAAGTTTAAGAAATGTAGAGTTTTCAAATTACATATTAACATAAAAACAAAACAAAAAAACATCCGTATTATATAGATATTGGGTGAAAATGATTAAGTTTTCACTTTTGGGATATTTTTCTCTCGAACAGTATAAGAAACTATAATGTTATAAATGATACTCAAATTAATTAATAAACGCAATACATTTTATTTATTCAGAAGCAACATTCATGTTTCACGAAGCAATAATCATTTCCAATTTTCAATAAAAAATACATTTAGATTTGTATCATTCAAATAAACTACAAACACTTCAAGCAAAACAACATGATAATAACGTTTTGATTTTGACTCCATAAACCACATGCCCTGAGCAAAAACTATTTGGCTACTCTGAGATGTCCACAGAAAATTGCATACCGGCCGTCTGGTGATTCAAACACGAAACAAATGGTGCAACGTGGTGAGCACTGACTACTCCCTGTCTTAGCTGCATAATTTCCTGTGCAAAGCCCTGAGTATTTTGTAAGCAAACGATATTAAACCCTAAATAAAGGAAAAATTGTATTACTATCAACAAATGTTAAATATAATTATTTTTTCAAATAATGACGTAATATATAAGAAAACCACAAATGCAGGGCCACCATTTAGATAAGAGTAATTTTTCCCCTGTGCTTAATATCGTTTATATATATATATTGGGAATAATACATGTATACAAAACATGTAGTTTGCGCTGTTTGAACGCTTAATAAATAATGTAAAACAATCAAAGCAAATGCTCTCAATATATATATATATATTTACATTTTATTCTTAAAAACCCAAAACCATTCAGGGGGCCTAATTATGGCCGTCCTATTGAAATCTGAAGTGGCACTCCTGCACAAATTTAAACCTAAATTATGTTAAACACCAAACAATTATTATTTTCTACATTATTTGTATGCCTAAACATTATGAAAGTACTTAATGGGATTAAATAGATATAACATTATTCTCTTCATAAATCTAAACCTTTTTCCAATAAATACAGTAAAACGAATTGAATTTTCATCAATAAGATACGGTCTTAAACTTTAGCTTATATTTGAAACAGCAGTGAAGATTACTTAGCTATGAAATATGAAAACAGAAATCTCTGAGCTCAAGTGCAAATGACTGTGGAAACGAAGGTTAAATAAATATATATATATAGAAGAAAATGTGATGGAACATTCAATGTTATTTGATCCCAAGTGTCTCTAGTGAAATATCTGTAATTAATACATCTTATAACTAAACTAATGAAATTTTGTACTTACCATAGAATTGTTATAATCTTCAGTGATAAGCATTGGCGCCATAGCCATGATAAGCATCAGAATAAACATAAACGTCAGCAGGATTCTGATTGGCTGTGCCTGGTTCGTTTGTTTTGACTTGAGCTTGGAATCCGTTACCATCGGCTACGTAGTTTACCTCACGATAGAGACCATAAGGATCCGTGTAACCATAACTACCGACAGCATTCACACCATCACTGGATTCTTGCTTCCACTGGTTACCGCCATAGTCACCAGCGACTTGGTAACCATAGTTATATGGCTGAGGATAGCCCTTATTGCAAGATGAAAAAAAAATTAAAAAGGAGTCTAAAACATTTTTACTTAACAATTAAACTGACGAAAACAAATACTTTGCTTATGCAAGAATATTTTGAATAACTTATTATTTGCAATATGAAACGTAATCTGATCATATCTGGTAACAAATCTAATACGATGATCAGCTAAATACTGCTATTTCGAACTACATCGATTCTACTAGATTGATAATAAATATTGCTATCAAAATGTGCTTTATATGACATTCGTGTATTTTTCTTTAAAGTTAGTGTACCCTGATGGCTCAGCAGTGAGTTTACAAACTTTCAACGCTACCATTCGAGGTTCCGTTTCCCCTTGGTGGATAGAACACATTTTGTGGCTTTTCGCTAAAAGAACAAATATTAAATGCCTTTGCACGCTGTAATCACGAGAAATAGTTTGTTGATGGTTTATAATTGATCGGTAATCATGTAAAGCATTGTTAAATAAATTGCTCTTTAAAATTCATTTTTAACTACTTTTATATTTAGCTAAACAGTTACAGGCCTTATAAGTTATTTTTCATTTGTAAATTGGTAAGTCCAAAAAGAGAAAACAAACTTACATAATAGTCGTCGTAAGCACCGTAAGGAGCATAGCCAGCACTACAAACAGCGAAAATTGCGGCAAAAATCAGGATCTAATCGAAAAGAAACACAAAATATTTAAATCACAATTTATTCTGGTATTTTATATGATCATTACATAATAGATCTTTAAGAAGAAAACAGTTTAGGACATATTATGTTTTTTTGTTTTGCTAAATCTTGTATTAGAAATATTTATGGTAATTAGTAGCAAATACAGCAAATTTGTTTAAAAGCTGCCATCTGTTGACAAAGATTGGCAACGTATTAGTAGCGTTGTTCGGTGAATTAGCTTGAAAGTCAGAAACTTGAGACTCACCTTCATGTTAGGAGAAATTCAGGCAGCTTTTGTGTTAAGTGTAAAGTTTGAGAACTTTGAAGTGTGTGAGAAACAGAAACATTTCCACGCTTTTATACACTTGTTCTTTACCCTAATCTGGAACCCTTGAGGGCGGTGGATAGAAGAAATTTCCGGTGTCGAGTTAGCGTTTGGTGGCCTACATTGTTGGATGAAGGTGGTACAACCCGCTCCTGGTTTTCTGTGTCTAATAGATCACAAGATATTGAATTTCACAGGCTGACTTTTACCATGTAATTCTTATTTCTACTTCCTACATAGCAGCATAAGGAATAATTTTGAATACGCAAAAACAAGCAGCGAAAAAACAAAAAAATATTTACTCGGATCACGTGTAGGCTGAAAAATATGTTTTCAGTCAGGTTATCCAACTTTCAACCTCTCACGTATTATAGATTTGAAATAGCTTTTCGTTTAGACCAAAAATAATAAAAAAAGTACAAGTTTGCATTGAATTGTTAGAATAAAATATAACTAAAAGTGACAGAAATCTGGAAAAATCTGGATAGTTGTGGTAGGAAAAAGCTACCAAGTTTTAGCCGAGATATTGATTTCTAAGAACTTAAAGAGCGAAAGCAAGAAGAATTATCAAATGTTTTAACTGGTTAACTATTGTTTCGGAATCAAAACACTTAAATATGTGGTTGTATTCTTACATTTAAGAGTCTCTTGGTTAGGTTGAGAGCTTAGAACGCTAAAGGTTGGAGTTCGATTTTCCCAGAAAGAGCGCAGTTAGTCCATTGTACAGACTTACGTACAAAAAGACTATTTCAAAAAAACAACAATTAATAATATATGATGTTAAAATAAACAATACAGCTTGGAATAATCTTTACCTTAATTTTGATGTGTTGTGACATTAAAAAATTGGTGAAATTATACAATTCACTAACTTAATCCTGTTCACAACGTAACAGTCAAGCGATCTGCTAATGTAAATAGTGTTTTAACTGCTACTTTGTCTGTAAAAGATATACACGAACTGTTCTCCAAATTAAAAACTTTTTCTTTAATTCAGAGCATTTGGCCCTATTATCAGAGCTTCCATTAGGCAACAGAGTATTAAATAATACAAATTCGTTTATTTATGGTAGGCAAGTGTCTAAGCAATAATCCTAACAATACGTGACATCTAGTATTAAAGTTGTTAACATGTATAAAATACTGAAAATAATTACGACAAGCATAAAATTAACAGACAAAAACTTGAATTTTTACATAAATTGAAGAATCAAAAGCTTGGTTTTTGTAGCTGTATAAGAATATAAATATCTTACGCACTCTGTTGTTTAAAAATATTTAAGATCAAACAATTACATGAAAATAATAAACATAATAAAAACAAAAGTACAACCATAGACATTTTATAGGAGAATAAAATGTTCGGATTTCAAATAATACATTATGGAATTATTTGTCATGACTAAAGCTAAAAAGAAGAATTTTCTTAAAAGATACCACGATAAATGATATATTTCACATATTTTATAAGTGGTGTCCATATAATACTGAGTAGTTATAAGACTTTGTTTTGTGGTCTGGCATGGCCTGGTGGTTAGGGCACTCAACTCGCAATCTGCAGATCGCTTGTTGGAATCTCATCACCGATCATGCTCGCCCTTTCAGCTGTGAGGGCGTTATACAGTGACGATCAATCTGATTATTCGTTGGTAATGAGTAGCCCATGCGTTGGCGGTGGGTGGTGTTAACTAGCTACCTTCCCTGTAGTCCATCCTTTCAAAATTCGAAATGGATGGCGCAGATAGTCCTCGAGCATCTTTGTGCGAAATACAAAACTAACAAAACATATATTTTGGTTAATACCTACTGGTGGCCCACTGTCTTGGGATTGGATGATAATAGCTTCTTTGATGTTTCTCCGTCTGATGTTTTCTACTCTGTCTATTATTTTGCATATTTTAAGTCTGTTATGTGATCATTTTCCTGAATGTGTTTGTAGAACAGTTTCGATGTTCTTTGAATTTTACCTGTAACAGGTGTTGTGTTTCTCTAATATATTGTTTATTATTACACGCACACAGAGACCGTTAGAAACTTTCTTTGTAAGATGACTGGAAACTAAGAATTTTACTTTCGCCAGTCTGTCGCATAGTGTAGAAGGACTTATGAAAGTTACGGTGTTGTAAATTCTATTCACGATTCTTCAAAGTTTTCCCTCGAAGCCTGAGATATAAGAAAAAATATTTCCTTATTTCGTTGTGAATGTCGAGTTGTAGTTCATTAGCAGTTGAGATAGGTTGGTCATATATCATTTTCGTGGAATAACAATTTTTCTTGAAAATTTTCTAAAGATGTTTAAGTTCTTCATTTATGTAGAAGAAAGGAACATATACTTGTAGCTCTGGATTTTAGTATTTTAATAATCCCAGTTTTGACAGAAATTGTATGACATGGACATTTAGATTAAAGGAAAAGTATAGTAACGTAAATAACAGTCCATATATATTTTTTATATATTAATTTAACCTACATTATTAGTTTTAATGTCGTATCCTAGCCGGTCTAAAAGGCCCTGATATTGAGCGAAAGGCCCCGTCAGCACTAGCTATAGAAGTTCTTATTATTAATATCCTTAAATATGATGTTGTTGTTTGTAGTTAAGCACAAAGCTACACAAAGGGCTATCTGTGCTCTGCCCACCACGGGTATCGAAATGCGGTTTCTAGTTGTAAGTCCACAGACATACCGCTGGGTCACTGAGGGGCTAATATCTCTAGTAACAAATGTGATTGTGATGTTTTGGTCCCCATCGGCTCAGGGGCAAGATTGAAGTCTATAACACTGGGGGCCCCCTTAAATATGACAGAAAACAAAATTCGTTTTTAAAAGAATTGCTGAAAATCGTTGATTAGCTATGGAATAATAATGAAGGTAATTTTCAATCTGCAAATGGATTCTTTAATAGGTCTGCTCATTGTCTACCTCACACTCCACCCCCAAAGTAAAAAGAAATAAAATAATGGGTACATTAGGGCATTCATCTTTACAGTGTTTCTGTCCAATTAAAATATACAAACATTTATACGTATTTGTTTTCTTTGTGAATACTTAAATATTCGTTAAATCAAGAATTTAATTGTACATTTAAAATTTGGAATAAATTGATTATTGTTCAGTTTCAAAAACAACAACACTATCAACAAAAAAGAGACCCACCCAATTTCTTTACTTATGAGTTATAAAGAAACACACACATACACGGAGTCTAGAATCCTCTGAGTTTAGAAAAAAAAATCAAGTTTATTTTATTTTTTAACAGGTGTTTTGTTTGTACATCGTCTTCCATAACAGTTAGACTATTCCATAAGACACAAATTAATATAATGTTTAACCTAATTCTTCAAGTAACAAACCAGTCAGTAGCTATAAACTACAAATTCCTTAAATGTCTATTAGTATGTCACTGATTACTAGCATTTGTTGTTTATTAGCTACAAAGTTAGTTTTTTTAAGTGAATCAGAATTATTATGGTCGGGTAGATTAAATCTTTTTGTTTGTTTTAACGCAAAACCACATATTACGCTATCTGCGCTCTGTCTACCGTGGGGAATCGAAATCACATAACATAACGTTTTGGGACAACATGGGACCTATTGGTCCATCTCGGCTTTTCCATCCTATAAACCAAACTAAAACTATTAGTAAATAAATTTTTAAAAAGTCTTAAAGCCAACCCTCATCATTCATATACTTACCAAGCTTTCTCTTAAACTCACTTAAATTTACTGCCTCCACAACATCCGAAGGTAACTCATTCTAAATGCCAACCACCCTTTTAGAAAAATAAAACTGTCTTAGCTGAAGATGACTCCTACTCTGCCAACATTTATACTTGTGTCCAGTAGTTCTACTATTCTCACTGTTAAGTATGAAAACAATGATACAATCAACACTATCAGTTCCATTTACAATCTTAAATATCTCAATCAGATCCCCTCTAATTCTTTTTTTTTTTCGAGAGAAAACAATTTGAGAAATTTCAACCTCTCCTCATATGGCAACCCCTTCATCCCAAGCACCATTCTAGTAACCCTTCTTTGAACTCTTTCCAACGATTCAATGTCTCTCCTAAGATAAGGAGCCCAAGAGTGAACACAATATTCCAAATGTGGCCTAACCAGTGACCTACACAATGAAATCCGGATTTTAATATTTTAATTTCGTTGATCCAATACAAAAAGATTGAAGCTAAACGTGAAGGTGACTAAATTCAAAGGATAATTTTAGGATAGTCTAATTAATAAATATGGTGTCATAGCAACAGTGATTGCCAAAATTAATTTTAAATTTGAAACATTTGGTAAATGTTTGTTTTCTTAGAGGTTTAGCACCTTCTGAGCTAATGTGATAAATACTGTAATAATATATTTGTCTCTTTGTTTTAAAATTATACGAGTTAATTAACCTAAGATTGTAATTATAAATTTATATCCTCTAGACCTTTTGCACTCTCTGAGCTAATGTGACTGATTTTGTGACTATGAATAGATTCCCATCCTTTAGACATTCAACAACCTCTTTGATAATATGAGTAATATTACAATTGAAAATTTATGTTATTTATAATCTGACGTAGTGCATCTGACATCGTAATTTTAAATTTGAATTTCTAGACTTTTAACGTCCTGTGTTGCTAATATTGTAATTATTTATTTGTCTCCGCTAGACGCATATAATCCACTGAACTTATGAAGCTAATATTGCAGAATATAGTAGAAAGGATATAAATCTAAATAATTCAAGAGATTACAATTTTTTCCGAAAAAATGTAGGAAATATTTTATTCTCATAATCAACTACATGGATACAATATTAATGCTAATTTAGTCAAATATTCCCAGTCTTTGAATAACTAACTGTTTGATTCTAACGCTTTATCTCGAAAAATCTAAGAATGTTAAACGACATATAACTGTAGGTAATACTGAATAATCACACAAGCGCAAGAAACAGTCAACTGTAGATTTTTGTGTTCGTTATGTCAACAAATTGAAATCAATAAAACTTACTGAAAAGACAGTTATTGATGTAAAAACATACTCAGGATATTAAATGAAAATCTTAGATTAAGCAATGATGCTTCAATAATCTTAGCCAGTTAAGAAATATTTCCTAAATATTAAACTAGATAATACAATGGTACAATGATGAATTTTTCAACTTTCTTCTCCACAGCCACCCGTATGGTTATAACAATGTTTTATGAAAAGAAACAGCCAGCATCCAGTGAA